TCATGAAGTGATACCAAAGAAACTCTCAGGCCTCCCTGATGGCCTAAGATCGAACACATAAGATAGGGTGGCTTTTCTGTGGCTTCTTCCTCTTCCTTTCAGAGAATTGGGTGTGGGGCTGGGGGCCACGGAGAGCAGCTGGACCTGCCTGAATTACAGTAAGAAGCACAGGTCCAAAGGAACGTGAAGTTTGGCACCAACTTCCACAACTGCTTTTCTCACCACTCGCCTCTCCTCTCCACAGCACGGCCTCATCTTAGCCACACTTAAATAGGTCTATACCTTTTCTCACTTCGCTTATGTCAAGAAAACAAAACAAGAGTACCCCCGGAAGCCAGCTGCCATGAGCCTTTACCACATTTCCTCTTTCTCAGCTCTTAGCAAATCTGCCAGCAATAGGCTCATTGTTCAGTAGAAGACTTGCTCAAACCTAAGCCAGAGACAGAGTCCTTGGGGATATCCTGACTGGTACCAAGGCCCTCCAGACCCCAACAACTGGGGGTTTATTTGGGCCTGTCTTAAATGTGAACCTTGAGGCATGGGCAAGACACAATCTAGCTGAGCTAGGCCTGGCGTGCCCTCTCAATGTTTATGCCAAAATCAGAGATCAAGGGTCCCCACAGGGCTGTCCCTCAAGAACTAAAGACACAGGCCAGAAAGGAACATTCCTACAAGTCTCTCTTTGGACCTGTGTGATGACCACCTATCTCCCTGCCAAAATAATGACTGGCAGTTCCAAACTGTTCTCCAATAGGCTGTCTGTCTGCAACAGAGCAAAGAAGAGGCCTCGGTATGTGAGCAGCTCTCGTAGGGCCTGAAGGCAGGAAAGAGAGAAACAAGGAAATTGCAGTCCCCAAAGGATGATGCAGAGCAGGTTCTCAATGGGGAGATCAATCAGCAGTAACTGATTGAATTGCCTTTAGGCTGAGGACCGAGAATGGCACCTGGGGAGGTGACACAGGTGGGGTGTGGTCCTGTGCTTGGGAACTTATCTGTCAGTCACCCGAGGAGGGAGAGCTAGCTGCTTGTTTGGCACCACAGAACCAGCACAGCACAGCACCATCTGGGACAAAAAGCTCCAGTGGCTTCGAGGCCCAGATCAGTTTCCTGTGACAAAGCTCATCTTAGCACATGCCTCAGAGTGCCAACTTGTCCTGGGCCTGGTCACAGAGGCCCCACTCTTTGAAGTGGCCATTGCTATTGCTATTCAGTAGCTGCATGCCAGAGGCCCAGATAGCACTGTGAAGTTCAGGCATCAGGGACTCAGATGCTATCCCTGCCCGGCCTCGCTGTGATGAGAGTCACCAACTGCCAGGCACTGCCTCTGAGCTTGTCAGAGCTGCAGGCTCATCGAATCCCCTCAATAACTTAATGAGGAGCCCAGAGAGAGTCTCTCCTCCTCACCTCCCACATGCTCCTGGGTTGTTTTTTGCAGGCCAGCCACTGTTCTGTGCATTGGAGCAAGTCGGTCTCACAGAGACTCAGATGCCAGTTTGTATGTTTGCTGTGGAGAGTAAGCAGTATTTCACACTCACCCACAAGTGCTTTGCCTGGTGTAAGGACAAAGGGAAGGTGGTGAATGGGGATGGACCGGGTGTGGAAATCCTCCTGCCTTTTTATGATCACACTAGCATAAGCACAAATATATTAATATCCTATGTTAAAACAACCTAGACAACACAGCAAGACACAGTCAGTTAATCTATCAATCAATCGGCCAATCAATCAATGGAAGGATGGATAAATAGGATTCCATTATAGATCTTATATCTGACAAAGGACTGATACCCAGAATATATAAACAACTCTTGCTATTTAACCACAAAAACATGAGAACAGTCTTCCTAAAACTGGACAAAGGAATTAAGAGGACATTTCTTTATAGAAAATCTATAAATAGTCAATAAGCACATGATAAGACGCTCAACATCACTAGTGTTTAGGGAAATGAAAATGAAAACCATAATGAAACAATACTTCCTACCCATTAAGCTGATGAGCATTGAAATGTACTGATTTCGTGGTGGGAAACTGTGCTTAGGAATATGAAAATGAAGAAATCTCTGTGGAAAACAATATGGTAATTCCTCAAAAGCTTTAATATAGAATTGCCATATAAGCCGGCAACTTCATTCCTGGACATATATCCAAAAAGACAGAAAGATAGAACGTATCAATGGTCATGGCATTATCGTTCACAATAGCCAAAGGCTGGAAGCAGCCAGTGCCCCTGACGGAGGAATGGATTCACAACGTGCGGTGTAGATGACACAGTGGAATATGATTTGGTCCTTAAAAAGAAGGCAATTCTAATGAGTGCTGCAATATGGGTGAACCTTGAAAGTGAAATAAGCCACATCCAGGAGGACAAACACCAATGTGATTCCACTTAGAGGCCCTCAGAGTCGTCGAGCTGATAAAAGAAAGGAAATGGAAGGTGAAGCTGGGGGGCCGGGGGAAGGAGATGTGGGAGTTACTGTTTAATAGCTAAAGAATTTCAAGTTGGGTTCTTGCTCTTGCTCTTCTTTTCTAGCTCTCTCTGCTCTCTCTCTGCTCTAGCTCTTTCCTCTTTCCTTTCCCAGCCACGTGGAGTGCCAACCTTGCCTGGTCCCAGCAGGTCTACTGAATAAACCTACCCCTTACCTGAATACCACGTGAGTGCTACTGTTCTTACCCCTCTCTCTGCTCTTTTCTAGCTCTTTCTTCTCTCTTGCCTCTCTTTCCCAGCTCTCTCTCATTCCCAGGCCTTTCCCAGCCACGTGGAGTACCTGAATACCACGTGCGTGCTGGTGCTGTTCTTACTCAGCGCAACCTCTTTCTAAAAACCTAACATTTACTTACTCAATAAAGCTCTTCCAAGTTTTCTTACCAAAAAAAAAAAAAAAGAATTTCAAGTTGGGAAGATAAAAATGTTGTGGGGATGGAAGCTGGGATTCAGGGGGAGGGCAGGGGCTCAGCTTTCTTTCCTGGGACCAGGCTACCTTTCTAGAGGTGAGCCTGGGAATAGCTCCTTGCAGGGCAGGGGCTGAGGCTCCATGAAGGATCAGATCATTCACTGGTGGTGAGTATGGAAGGTGAGGGCATGGGGTCTGATGGTGAGCGAGTCCTAAGTGCCCAGCATACCCATACTTGCTAGGAAGAGGGTGGGTTTAGATATTGTGTCAGCAGCCAGGATGCCAGCCTGCCCGGCCTGCTAGGGAGAACCTTAGCCTAAAAGCCCACTTCTGCCTACATCTTCTCTGCACTCCGGCTCCAGCGGGTGCTTCTGCAGCCAGGTACTTGAAGACAATTCGTAATACTGAAATGTGTCCTAGTTAGATATGAAGTAGCTGGGATTCTGTGTGTGTGTGTGTGTGTGTGACTGCTCACTGTGTCATAAAGGCCCAGGGGTAGGGCAGTTGATTTTCTTTGTCCCCTGAATGGCAAAGCACCCTAGCCTCAGTGACTGTGAGATGTATATGGCTTATACTGTACTGCATTTGGGAGCCATGCTGTCTCCCTTCTGGGGCCTCAACTACTGAAAGAATTCTGGAAAGACTGAAGGGGCGGCATGCTTGGTGTGGAAAAGTGCTGCCATGGACAAGTGGGGTCCGAAGATCCACTGTGTGCCCTGGGCACATTCCTTGCCGGGCTCCTGTGCCTCACTGTTACTTGGACACAATAAGCATACTGGGCCTGTCTTCCCCAACCTGCCACCCCCGTGGTTGGGAGTGAGACAGGATGAAATTTGTCCAATGAGGCTCTCCCGCCTCCTCCCACAGGCTCCTTGGCTCCCACCCACCCTCAGAGGCCTCACTTGAGGAAAGGCCATGCTGTCTGCTGCCAGCAGGTGCCAGGTCTGGTTGCTTGGAGACTTAGCCTTGCCCGTCCCATCCTCCAGGACAAACAGCTGAACAATGAGATGGGTGGAGGAGCTGTGGACATTTGGCAAGTCGTTCTTATGTTTTTCTGCTCTCTCGGTGGGATCTTTTTTCTTGTCAGATTTACTGGAAAAATTCATTTATCCCACATCCAGCAACTCAGCAAGCTTCCCCGGAAAACCATCCTGAGATCAACTTGCAGAAGCGTTGCCCTTTAGTCTTGGCTCCTGTGGACCCCAGGGAGCACTGTCACGGCTCCTGGTTATGGAGACAGTAGCTCCAAGCCAGCTTCCTCCTTCATCAACATGCTGAAGCCACGGGTGGTAAGAGTGGAGGCTCTGTCTTATCCATCTCCATATCCTCTACCTGTGCTCAGAAACACAAGGTTTTGCCTGGGGCTGGTGACTGGAAGGGTTTGGAGAAGAGAGCAGTTAGAGCCCCACTCAGGAAGCAATAGGTGTTGGGGAGACCTTGGGGGTACCAGAAGTCAGTGCCCTGGAAGTCATGTGAAAGATACTCAGGAAGAAGGAGGATGCAAAGCAGTTGGGTAACTTACTGGAAGAACTCAAGAGAGGGCTGAGGACCCCCGAGAGAGACCGGCAGAGGACAGGAAAGGCCACCAGCACAGGCAAACACTGAGGAGGCCGGGAGGGCCATGGAACAGGCAAGAAGGTTTTGAAGGCTGGAGGACTGGGATGGGGCAGAGTCAGGAAGAAAAGTCAGCTGTAAGCAAAGGATATGAGTTGGTTGTGAGAATAATAACTATTAAGTATCTGCATAATAACATCAGATATAAATATGTATTCATGTTATATATATATAAATGTTATATATTAGTATATAAATAAATATTAGGTATTTGCATAGTAGAGACCTCCAGTGGGCTATGGAAAATTCAGTTTGAGAGCTCAGAAGACAGGAAGCTAGGGAGATGGGTAGAGGGCTGAGAAGCACAAAGCTCAGCACGTGGTCAGAAGCTGAAGGCTGTGAATCAGCCACTTGTAGCTTTCCTCCCATGCAGGTGGCCAGGGCGGCCATTTGAACCACACCGATGGGTGCTACAGAGACCCAGAGAAACACTAAGTAAGAGTTGTCTGCTTCCTTTCTCATTTGGTCTCCGAGCTGGACTTCATTTCTCAGCTTCCCTTACAGTTAGATGTGGTCATGTGACTGAGTTCTGGCCAATTGCACACTGGCATGAGACACACATGATTTCTTGGCTCTTGTTACCCTAACTCTCTACCTGCCAATTTAATTTTCTTAGTGCACTCGGTGACTGAACATTGGAGGCTGCTTATCACAATAATTGAGCACATCTCGGTTGTGCAAGATGCACGGAGAGGATGGCAGGAGGGCTGGGAGAGATTCTACACTGTGACTGTGGACTTGGCACCACATGGGGTGGGAAGGGATGGGGCTCATCATCTCATGCGGCTGACACATTCTCATAGAAAAGCCAGGCTGGGACGGGCTAGTGGCGGCAACCGCGGTGAGGCCAGCAGGGCGAGGCCAGCAGGGTGAGGCCAGCAGGGCGGAGTGGAGACCAGAGCCTTCAATGGAAGGCGCCTGCAGGAAGAACCGCTGGGCATAGTCTTGGGCAGGGAAAGACTCTGCGACAGCACAGTAAAACAGTTCAATGGGCCGGGCGTTGGTGGCTCACGCCTGTAATCCTAGCTACTCAGGAGGCTGAGATCTGAGGATTGCGGTTCAAAGCCAGCCCGGGCAGGAGAGACCGTGAGACTCCTATCTCCAATAAACCACCAGAAAAACTGGAAGTGGCGCTGTAGCTCAAGTGGTA